TCATTGCCTTTTTAAAAAAGTAAATTCACTGTTCTACCTAGACTTGGAGCATAAAAGGGAAATTAACCTCAGGGGGTCTACTAGCACCTCTTTGTATTCCTTAAAGTGAAATGATGGCAAATCATCTTTCGGGACTGACCTGAAATGAAGAGAATACTCTGGCTGATCACTTAAATATTTGGGCATAATTCATGTTCCAACTGGAATACGTGGTGTGAAGTAGAAGTGACAATTTGATGTGGGATCGGTAAATATGTATCCTACTTTTTTTAGGATATGATGTGATTGCTCAAGCTCAGTCAGGTACTGGCAAGACAGCCACATTTGCTATTTCCATCCTGCAACAGTTGGAGATTGAGTTCAAGGAGACCCAAGCACTAGTATTGGCCCCCACCAGAGAACTGGCTCAACAGGTATTGATAGTGTAGTTCAAAAAACTGCTTGCGTGTTGCATAGGTTTCAGGTTTCACAACTGTGAAGAATTTAAAGCTCAGCGTAACTTGGTCCTATCAGAGCCCCCTCTAATTGTGCATGCAGGGAGTATTTGTTCTAAGATGAGCAGGAACTGGGTGTGTAGGTATGTTTTGTAGGTTTGTGTGCTGACATTTGAGAATCCAAAGTTCTCTACAGGGTAGACTAGGTCTTTACCCAAATTTTAAGTTTGAATGCAGTTGTGCAACATGAAAACTGCAGTGACATGTTACCATTTGACTGTCTCAGTAGTTTGTGATGCATCTGTTGCATGCTATGTTTTCAAAGCTCAGTGCTGTATTGGCTTTGAAGTAAACTAATAAAGCAGTAGGCTTTATTAAGGTCAGGATTGGAAAAAGACAGTACCTTATGGAAGAGAAAAATAATTTGCCCTATTGTATTTATAGAACTTGTGTTTATTGAAACATTTCTTAAACGGTGAAGAGAGTGATGTAGGAAAAGGTACTAGTTATGGGCAGTAGGATCCCAAATATATTGCACAAAAGAACTTATTACGAGAATTTTGGAATTCTCTTGAAACACTTAGGTCAGTCTAAGCTTGGAAGTAGTATTGTGCTCTGCATGTTTAGAAGCTATTGGCAGACCAGTTATTTTACCATCGTACTTGAGGATTTAGTCAGTTTATTTTATAAGGTAATAATTGAGGTTTTTGGCTTTTAGATCCAAAAGGTAATTCTGGCACTTGGAGACTATATGGGAGCAACTTGTCATGCCTGCATTGGTGGAACAAATGTTCGAAATGAAATGCAAAAACTGCAGGCTGAAGCACCACATATTGTTGTTGGTACACCAGGGAGAGTGTTTGATATGTTAAACAGAAGATACCTTTGTAAGTGTTTGAAGAGTCTCGATTTACTGTTACTGCCGCATCTTGGAGAATCTGGAGATGACACAGTATAACTTTGTTATTAACAGCTCCAAAATGGATCAAAATGTTTGTTTTGGATGAAGCAGATGAAATGTTGAGTCGAGGGTTTAAGGATCAAATCTATGAGATTTTCCAAAAACTAAATACAAGTATTCAGGTAAGTTTTATTTCATCCCTTCTCATAGTTAAGGGGTTTTTGGTTTTAATGCAGGTAAAGTTACAATATAACTGAAGTGTTTTATTGTCGTTCCCCCTGCTTAAAGTATTTGATGCATTACTATCTCTGTCTAGCTCTATTCTGTGGTAAGACAGAGACGCTTGGTCTCAAACATTTTTTCTTGATTATTACTGAAAGTTGCACTATGTACTTGTGTGACAACATAATCATTGTCTTTAGGTTGTGTTGCTTTCTGCCACAATGCCAACTGATGTGTTGGAAGTGACCAAAAAATTCATGAGAGATCCAATTCGAATTTTGGTGAAGAAAGAAGAATTGACCCTTGAAGGAATCAAACAGTTTTACATTAATGTTGAAAGAGAGGTAATTTGTCAGTTGTTACACAGAAATGTGGCTAGATTTTACCTTCTTGTATAAGCACTGTGCTAAAATTGCAGAAATTAGGATCATATCTTGGTTTCTGTAATAATGCCAGCAGAGTACACACAAGAAGAAAAGTAACTGCACTACATCCTAAAGACTGGGGTGGACCTCTTTTTTAATGTCCAGTGTCCTTTGTCTTAGGGTTTGGTGCAATATGTCTTTAAACAGACTTTTAACAGTGATTTTCTAAATGAAAAGTTGAACCGTATTTGACTGTTAACTTTTCTTTGAAAATACCTAGGAATGGAAGTTGGATACACTTTGTGATTTGTATGAGACTCTCACCATTACACAGGCTGTTATTTTTCTCAATACAAGGCGCAAGGTGGACTGGCTCACTGAGAAAATGCATGCCAGGGACTTCACAGTTTCTGCTCTGGTAAGAGGTGTTACTAGTACTGCTCATGAAAGCGTGTGCTTATTAAAGCAGGATTAAGACTACAACATAGCTGTTGAGTGCTGTGCTGTCGTTCCCCCTGCTCAAAATAAAGTTGTTTCTTAACTATACCTGTCTGCTATGTCTACGTAGCAGCCAGGGACGCTTGGTCTCATACATGTTAAAACTAAATGTTGACCTGACAGGTGATTCTTGAATTGAGGCTTGTTTGTTTACATACAGCATGGTGACATGGATCAGAAGGAGAGAGATGTTATCATGAGGGAATTCCGATCAGGGTCAAGCCGAGTTCTGATCACTACTGACTTGTTGGTAAGTTTCTTAATTGTTTCTGTATAATCTACCAAAAGTTCATTTTGAGGGTAAGGTTTTTAATAACCTTTACCAACCAGGGCTCTTTGGGAGACTAAAAGACCACACTCCACAGTGAACTATACCACTAAGTATAGTTCATTACTACTTTGTGGTTACATCACAGAAGTGTCTAGTTTTTTAATCAGAAATTTGAAGATACACCTTTGTATTTTTCAGGCTCGTGGGATTGATGTGCAACAAGTGTCTTTGGTTATAAACTATGATCTACCTACCAATCGTGAAAACTATATTCACAGGTGAGAAGAGAGCATCTTGACCAGTTTGTGTAACTGGTGAAATTCATGTATTCTCCTACAATGATTTGTAGGAAAGGTAATGTCAAATCAGGGTGTAGATTTGTTTTGGTGAAAAGACATAGTTTAGTATGATGTAATTAAAATTATACTTGGGAAGGCTGGCCAGAACCAAGTGGGAAAACTTGTAAATATGCCTAGGTTGTGTACATACATACAGATCAGGTTGCTTTAGGTCTTAGCTTGTTTTTAGCTTTATTTTTAGTGATGCTTTCGTGCCTTACGTGTTTTTCTTGGTGATTCTTCTATAGTTGGGATTTTTCTTGGTGTTGACTGGTAGCATTTTGAGTCAATAGTGAGTCGTAGTGGCTTTATCCCTAAATAAATTGGAATTGTACTTTGTTATATGATGTAAAAAAAGACTTTTTAAAAAATACAGGAGTCGATAGCAGCAGTTGGTGACGAGATGGTGCTCAGAAGCGGCGTTGACGTAATTTAGGACGTGGAGTCATAAGCGAAAAACAGCACACTGTTTGAATAAAGAGCGAGTCGGTATTTATAATTTGTTTTTCTTTTGTCATGATTATTTGATTTTTAAGTTGTTCCAGCCCAGGCATTTTTATGTTAGTATTTCTATTAGGGAGCATTAGGTGGTTTGTGTTGTCTGGTTTGTGTAGGAAGGTAGAGCTCTTTTGGAGGTAAACACGTTTGAGTAATTGAGTACAACGTGTGATACTGAGCAAAAAAAAAAAAAGCAGTGATAAGTTTGGGTTACCATACCAAATTTGTTTTCCCACTGGAAGATATTTTAAGTTTTAGAAAGTAGTTAACCTTGCAGCATTTGTATTTACAGTTTACAGTTCCAGAAGTGCGACGAAGTGGATTACATAACTGCTCTTTTGTTTTATCCCTGGTGTTTACATCTGTCCCAGGCTGACAACTGCTCTTGGCTGGCCCACTTTGGTATGGGCTTTAATTTCACTACCCCAAACACAGTACTGTCATCTGCTTTATAGTAATGCTCAAGACACCTGATAAATCTCATTTTGCAGCCAGACAAGCCTTGAATCCTTTTGGCACTAACTGCAAAGGAATATTTTTTCCCTCTACATACTGATTTAGCCGCTAGTGCTCCAATTAGAAGCACGAACTATAACCTTTTAAGTAAACTGCAGCTGATGGTTAACAAGTGGATCCTCATGTTCAGTAGTTCATAAAAAGTATTTGAGAAGTAACATTGTTGTTTCCTTTCTCTTACACAGAATTGGCAGAGGGGGTCGCTTTGGGAGGAAAGGTGTGGCTATAAACTTTGTTACTGAAGAAGACAAGAGGATTCTTCGTGACATTGAGACTTTCTACAATACTACAGTGGAGGAAATGCCCATGAATGTGGCTGACCTTATTTAATTCCTGGGATGAGATAGTTTTGAATGCAGTGCTCGCTGTTGCTGAATAGGCGATCACAACGTGCATTGTGCTTCTTTGGGAATTTTTGAATCTTGTCTCAATGCTCATAACGGATCAGAAATACAGATTTTGATAGCAAAGCGACATTAGTCGTGAGCTCTTGTGAGGAAAAGTCATTGGCTTTATCCTCTTTAGAGTTAGACTGTTGGGGTGGGTATAAAAGATGGGGTCTGTAAAATCTTTCTTTCTTAGAAATTTATTTCCTAGTTCTGTAGAAATGGTTGTATTAGATGTTCTCTATCATTTAATAATATACTTATGGACTAAAAGATATAAGTGCTGTATAAAGTCAGCCAATTATGTTAAACTAGCATATCTGCCTTTATTGTGTTTGTCTTTAGCCTGACTAGAAAGGCCTTTAAAAATTGATTTTTTTAAGCATTTGAATGCATTTTGTTTGGTATTGTATTTATTCAATAAAGTATTTAATTAGTGCTAAGTGTGAACTGGACCCTGTTGCTAAACCCCAGCAAGCAATCATATCCTAGGTCGGGTTAAATCCCCAGTAAAATTGCCATATTGCACATGTCTTAATGAAGTTTGAATGTTAAATAAATGTATATTCACTTTAAAGGTAGTTTGGTCATTTTTATTTTCACAACCTGTATTTTACAAAGCATTTCTTGTGAGCTTTTGGTCAGTTTTCAGACTTAACAATTCTGAGTTAGTTGCTGCATCACAATTGCACAAAGGCTTATCAATTGCAGGTGTTCATCAGCACCATCTGCTAAGCATTTATCAGCTTCCTAGAAGAAAATGCACATTAAGGTTAGTAAATTTCAGGCACAGCTAAATACTATAGTGACAACTGCCCAGTCTACTTACAGCAAGTTTCTCTGTCATAATAGATTTCTGTTTATCGGAAAGGTTATCATTCTCTACAATTGCATCATGAACTTGATTTATAAGCTGAGTTGCTGCATGACCTTCATTTATTAAGTTCTGTAATGGAAAAAAATGGTGTGATCACCAAATCACTGCCCCCCCCCCCCCGGGTCCAATTTACTTTTAAGCTATGACTTCAGTACCTTCACAACAGCTTCCAGTTTGTCAAAAGAGCCACTCTGACATGCAGCAAATACTCCATCAATTGTCTCAGCTGGTATTACCTGAAAGGGAATGTGGAGGTAATTTGGCTGTACTGTACTTCCACCAAGAAATGTAACAAATTGGGGCCTATGATGGGACTGCTTGTCCTAGTCAGTGAAGTCTACATAACCCTCTCTTCTGGCCCTTAATGTAACTTTTATCAGCCAAAAGGGAAAAGTCTCAGTCTTCAAGTAGCTGCTTTAATGAGATTGGTTTGAAAAGTACCCAGAGAACTTAAAGAGAATGCTATTCATCTTGTTCTGTAGGAAATGTCTTCAACGGTTACATTCTGAATGTAATGCTAGTGGAGTTTTGATGGAGTGTACAAAAGGTACACTCTTCCTAACTACACGTCATTACACAGCTCTAAACATGGCTTCATCCTGAACCAAAAGCATTTGAAAAGTGATCTGTAGTAAATGTGTACAGATTTGTCACTTTCTGAACAATGCAGTAATATATATATAGGAATAACCTACACATGATTTAAAGTATACAGCAAGCCAGGTATAGCATATGCCTATAATGATCCCAGCACTCCGGAAGGCTAAAGTAGAAGTGCCCAGGTGTGGAGAGTTTAGTGTGGGTCCATCTCAAAAGTGGGCTGTGAATAAGCTGTGTAAAGTCCCTGGATTCAGTCTTTCCAGATACTACATCGTTTTACATAAGGAGTTTCAGTGCCCTGTGGATACCAAGGAATGACTATATCCTTTTGGCAAAAAAGTTTCACATAGATGAACAGTATGACTGCTGAAAATTAACTATGTGCCACAATTGTGCTACAGTGGACCCTCAAGTTTTGACCAGCTTGATGTATGAACAACTTGGGTTACAACTGGAATTTCAGTTTAACCTTACAACCAAAGTTTTTGAGTTACGACCTGAATGCGGCTTGTGCCTCCGAATGGTCTCAGATACAGATTTAACCCTTAAAGAGTTCTGGGAGGAACATTACACAGTATCTTTTCCTGTGTGGGGTTGAGAAATCCTGGGCCAATGTCTAAGGACACTGATTTCTGCCATAATACAGGAGGGAGACTTTAAAGGTTGGGTAAAGGAGTCTGAGCTTTCAGCTTGAGTTACAACCAGCCCGCACGAATGAACTGAGTTCATAAGTCAAGGGTCCACTTTCTTAGAAATCTCTCTTAGAAATGTAAGATTTATTACACACCTGACATACTGAAAGCCAGTGTTAACCTCTTTGCTGAAGCATTGATAACTGGTTATTTACTATTTTCTTGTGCAGTCTTCTGCACATAATTTTCGAAAAGCCACAAAAATGTCAGCTAGAATTTCAAAATATCTAGTGTTCTTACCCCAGCAATGTCTGTGATCACTTTTTCCATGACTTCCTTTCCACCTGTTAATCGAGTAGCACTCTGAAGAAATGTAATGGCTTTCCTTAAGTCTCCTTCTGACACTTTAACAAGATAAGCTATTCCCTGAAGAGAAAAGAATTGCTTTAAAGCTGTGATCACCAGTTGAAGTCTTCTGACTTTATTTTTATTTTTTAAATCAATTTTATTTATTTTTAATCTGTGTGAATCTTAGCTAGGGAGTGTCTGTGAACCTCAGTTTTCTCATCTGTAAAGTAGGAATAATTGCCTCACAGGGTTGTTATGGGAAGACATGGTGCCAATTTATGAAAAAATTGACAAGCACAGAACTTAGTTCTCAATAGCTCCTTACCATTTTGCAGGTATACTGATACATAACTGGATTCAAAGACAATAAACTGCTGTTAATAACTTTTGGTGCATTTCCTTCCAGGCTAATTTTTTAAAATCTGTATTTTCTCCACATAGCTTGTGATTCAACTCAATACACAATTTTATAGCTTGCCTTTTTTTACTTAAAATTGTAAGAATTTCCTCACGTTATTAGAAAAGGTCTTTGTAAACATAATTTCAGTGGGCATTGTGTAGATTCCTGTAGCTTTTTAAAAGCTTCCAGGCTCGCACTCTCCTTTGCCCTACCTTTTTCTCATCTCCCACATGTAGATACAATTATTTATCAAGACACTGAGATCCGCACGTTCACGTAGGCATTTTCATGATTGTCCATTCTTACACTTGGAGGCAGCTACGGCAGTCTGAGACCTTGTGGTAATGTTGTAACTTAACTCAACCTTGGCCCCAGAGAACCCTCTCCTTCCCTTCAGCACCTTGCTTCTTCCAGATCCTAGCCTCTGACCCTGGGCTGGGGGCTTCCTGAAGGAGTCCTTGATTAGGGCATAGATGCACATGCCTGTAAAAATCCTGATTTTAAAGAAAAGTAAAAATATACTATGCTTTAGCCTAGAATTAGTGGGGAAAAATTTTTTTGTTTCTGAGGGAATATCAGTTATATGGTGGCAGAATTGATCGAGACAGCATCTGTCCAATGGAAGAATAGAGATGTTTTGCTTCTAAAAGAAACTGGCAAGGATGAAAAGATCTTTCATATTTGTACTATTTTCTGGATCACATCAAGCAAAGAAAATGCAAATTGTGGTTAAATTTTATGAGTACGGGCCATATATTTTCTAGCACTGGGACTACTAATTATGAGACTAAAAACTCGTCATTATGCAGAGATTTACCACAGAATTAACACTGTATGTATGAAATCTACCAGTCTGGGGTCTCTAAAATACCAGATAAACTAGCTTAAATATCTCCAAAAGTGACAGAATAGCTCAACCTTGTAATTCCTACACATTTCAACTTTTGTCATTCACCTTAGCTGGTCCATATGGATTCATCAGAGGAACTCATAATTACCTCATTGCTAATTTTGACATTTTCCTTCTCAGCAATGTCTAATAACCGTTGCTGTTGAATTTTATCTGAGAGAGGCTTGAAGCGGAACTTTGAACATCTAGAGGTCAATGGTTCAATTATTCTGTAAAAGATTGGAAAAAAATATGTTGGTGTTTAAGAATTTTCCAGACTTATTTTCAAGAAGAACAAATCAGATTTGAAGGAGATATTAATGCAATCTTGAAAATTTAAATTTTTCTCCCTCTATGGGGTTTAGCAAAATAGGCTGCCTGATAACAAATATTCAAAACAGGAAAGACCACTTGGAATGTTCTTAACGCACATGATGTTTCTGAGGGGAAAGATGCTAACTGATCTAATCATTATACACTGTATACTGTGTAGAAACATCACATGGTACCCCATAAATAGGTACTATGTGTCGATAACAACAGCTGCCCAGTCTCTACCTTCAGGGCAATATACCCACCGAGTGACATAGTTACAGATGAGGCAGAATCGTGTGGTTTTCGACTCCTTCTCCATGGTGCGTCTTAGAGCTGCCTGAGCAGCCGAGGTCATAGAGTCTGCTTCATCCAAAATCACAATCTTAAAAGGAGGACATGGCTTCCCACTAATTCAGAGAAACACATAAGAGTTGAGCACTAATATATTCTGTTTTTCATGGCTATGGTGAGAGGTAATACTCCACAATTTACCACTTAGAGTGTATACAGTTCAATAATCTTCAGTACATGGTAATCTCCCATTATTTATAGGGTTTTTGTTTCAAGAATCCCAATGGATACCTGAAACCAGACAGTATCAAACCTTACTACTGTTTTTTTTTTTTTGGTACCGGAGATCGAACTCGAGACCTTGCGCTTACGAGGCAGGCGCCAGAACCACTGAGCTAAATCCCCGGCCGTACTACTGGTTTTTTTTTTCCCTACACATATATACCCATTACCCCTCCTCTTCCCCCCACTTTTTTTGCAGTTCTGGGGACTGAACCCAGGGCCTTCCCATTGAGTTACATCCCCAGCTCTTTTTTATTTTTGAGACAAGGTCTTGCTAAGTTGCACCTGGGCTTGAACTTGTGACCCTCCTGCCTCAGCCTCCCAGAGTGCTGGGACTGCAGGCGGGTGCCACCATGCCCAGCACCCAGGACAGTTAAATTTATAAATTAGACATTGTAATAGATTAGCAAGTACTTAAAATCAAACCACTGAAACAATGCACTGATAAAATTGACAATATTACTACTCTGGTGTTTTGCAGCTATTATTAAGTAAAACAAGGGTTACTGAAACAGGAGCTCTGTGGTACACTTTGATCTGAGAACCGAGACATGGCTAGGAAGAGACTAGTAAGGACAGTGCATGCACAGCATGGACGCACTAGACACGTTCCTATCCCAGGCAGGGTAAAATGAGATTTCATCACACCACTACTCACAATGGCATGCAATTTAAAATGAAGGAACTGTTAATTCCTGGCATTTTCCATTTAATATTTTTAGACCATAGTTGACCACGGGTAACTGAAACCACAGCAGGTGAAACTTATTCAAGAATCATGTAGCTATCACCACAGCCCAATTTTAGAACATTTTCATCACTCCAGAAAGAAACTTCCTGCCTATTAGGAGTCACTTTTCCCCCTAATTCTCCCAGCTCTCGGCAATCAGTAGTCTACTTTCCTATCTCTAGGTTTCTCTATCCTGAATATTTCATATACGTGGAATTTATAACACATGGGCCTTCTGTGGCTGCTTTCTTTTTTGTTTTTGTTTGTTTTTTTTTTGGTATCAGGGAATGAACTCGGGTCCTTAGCTTGCGAGGCAGGCGGTGGAACCACTGAGCTAAATCCCTGGCCCTGCTTTCTTTTACTTAGCACATTTTCTATTTTTTTTTGGTTTTTTGAGTCGGGGTCTCACCATGTGGTCCGGGCTGGCCTTGAACTTATTTTTTTTTTTGGTTCCGGGGATCGAACTCGGGTCCTTGTGCTTGCGTAGGAGGCGGTAAAACCACTGAGCTAAATCCCCCACCCCAAACCATCAAATTTAATTAATACATATTCCTTAGACAAAATACCAATAATACCAAATACCCTGACAATATACCACTTGTTATTATAAAGGTCATTTCTGGGCTTAAATAATTTAGAAACAATACGATCTAATAAGAAGAAAATTTGGCAGAAGTATATACTTAGTCCATTTTGTGTTGCTGCAACAGAATACCCAAGGACTGGGTAAATGATAAAGAAGACTTTACTTCTCACAGTTCTGAAGGCTAAGAAGGCTGTAAATCATGAAGGCCTTCTAGAACATGACAGGAAGTATCACATGGCAAGATGGGGCCTCTCTTGCTCTTATAACGCCACTAAGACCATCGTGGAGGACATATTCTCATGACCTCTTCTAGTCCTAATTATCTCCCAAAGGCCCCGCCTCCAAATTCTACTAGCACATGAATCTAGCGATTGTTTCCAACACACGAACTTTTGGGGGACACGTTCAACCCACAACCTATGCTTAAAACAAATATAATGACATGCTATAGAGAAGGGAAGGCAAGTTTACTTACTTGTTTTGTTTTGCTTTTTTGAAACAGGGTCTCACCATGTAGTTCATGCTGGCTTGAGCTCACTATGTAGCCCAAGCTGGCCTCGAACGCATGGCAATTCTCCTGCTCAGCCTCACAAGTGCTGGGATTACAGGCGTGCACCATTACACCTGGTGGCAAGTTTACTTACTCTGAACGACTTCCTGATACAGCTAACTGAGCAAAATTTTTCACTTTCTCTCGAACTACTTGTATTCCACGTTCATCAGATGCATTTAACTCAAGAACTCTTGATCGAAACAGTTCAGGCCTATTTAAAATTGAAACAAATATGAAACATAAAGCATACAAATAACCCAGGCCTAACTCACATTTTAAGATTTGTACACTTTGCAGAGGTTTAAAATTCACCTAGCAAACACAGATAGAAGGCATACAATAATTTCTGTATTTTTTTTTTTGCAAAGCCATGCAATTAACATTTTGGTTCTTTCCCATCCATTAAGAAAAGTAGATTATTATATAGCATGTAAAATTTTAAATTTACCATTAGTTTGTATAATAAACATCTTGCAATGGCCAATGTAAATGCCATTTTAATGGTTTTATATATACACACACACACACACACACACACACACTTTTTTTTTTTGGTACTAGAGATCAAACTCGGACCCTTGCGCTTGCAAGACAGGCAGCATAACCACTGCGCTAAATCCCTGGCCTTGGTCATATCCTTTTTAATTTAACATTGTTCAAATGTTAGACATCTAGTTTTAAATACTTTACAGTTTAGTGCATTTTGAACTATTTCCATAGAGTTGACTGCTCTAGGGGAAATTATTGGATTAAACAGTTTTTTTTCTTTTTTGCAGTGCGAAGGATCAAACTAAGGGCTTTGCTCATGGCAGACAAGTGCTGTAGCACTAAGCCAACCGCCCCCAACTTGAACAGTTTTTAAAGTGAGTTTTTCTTTTAAAGTTAAATTACCAAAAGTAGCATATCCTCACTGTAGACAAATCTGAGAAATCGAAAAAAAAAAAATTTCCCAGCATGCCCTGTCAAACTGGCTTTGAAACTTTCCTTTAGTCTATACACACACACACATACACACACGCATTTAAAAGATGAAAGATGGGCTAGGGGTCTAGCTCAATGCTACGGTGTATGTTTAGCCTTGGGTTCAATGTATAGCACCAAAAAGAAAAGCCCCCTAAAACCCATGAGAGCAATGATTCAATGATTTAGTCGTACACTTATTTTTCCTAATTAGTATCATATCTTAAACATTCTTCCATAGGTGTAGACTGGAAGCTTGGTATAAATACGTTCTATTTGATTTTGGGGTTTTTTTTTTGGTACCGGGGATCAAACTCAGGACCTTGCGCTTGCGAGGCAGGCACCAGAACCACTGAGCTAAATCCCCGGCCCCATATGTTCTTTATGAAACCACAGTTACAACAAAAGTAAGTTTTTCCTGCTTTCCAATAACCTCAGAAAATGACAATAAGAGATTTTTTTTTTTTTTTTTTTTGTACCAGGGATCGAACTTGGGTCCTTGCGCTTGCGCAGCAGGCAGTGAAACCACTAAGCTAAATCCCCAGCCCCAAAAGTAAGTTTTTAAATTAAGGACAAACATTATTTTATAAGGGATATATGAAAAGTTATATAATCTAAACTGACTTACTCCAAATACATATGACAATGATAATGAAGGTTTGAACAGTTCCATTCATTATTACATTGCTAAGTTGGTTCGGCTCAAATGTTAGTTGTGCAATAATCAAAAAAGCTTTGAGGAAAAAGGCTGCTGTCTGATGAGGCTCACAGCAGCTTCTCCTGTCTTCCGTCACAATACAACATGGCTGACTCTCGTTTCACGTTTGGTGGTCTTACAGGCATCTAACGGTTTTCATAGTTAGGCTTTCAGACGTACCCTTTGGCTGAATGTCTTTTTTTTTTTTTTTTTTAATGTCTGATAAAAAAAATTCTGGGTGAATTCAAGCGAGCCTTTGCTATGCTGGTGCATGTTACATTCTATCAGACCCAGGCCACTGTACAGCTGACCCTAGAACAGTACAGGGTTAAGGGAGTGAGCAGATGCCCCTTACAGCCGAAAATCCAAGAGTTAACTTTTGCCTTCCCCCAAACTTAAATGTCTGTGGTTGACGTAAAGTCTTAACTGATAACATGGTCAATTAACATACACTTTGTATTTTATAAGTACTATATATAGCAAAAAATAGGTGAGAACTTTTGAGATTTTGTTTTAAAGAGATACATACTTTACTGGAAAGACAAACTTTTCAGAATTGATCACAAAGAGATGATCAGCGTCAAAAAAAAGTGGTACTGGGGATCTGCAGGGACTCTGCATTAAACCATATTCCCAGCCCTTTTAAAAAATTTTTGTGAGGTAGGGTTTCACTAAACTGATGAGGCTGAGTTTGAACTTGTGATCCTCCTGCTTCATCCTCCCAGACTTCTGGGATTATAGGCATGGGCCACCACACTTGGCTTACAAAGTATTTTAAGCATACCTATAACATCTGAGCTCAGTTCAACAGCAACAGGAGCTGGCTATGAAATTATTATAGTCATATGGCGTATACTACAGTTCATTTAATGTAGTCATGATTAAATATGGCATCTCTACATGTTTGCATTTCTCTCAACTGGATGGCATCATGTATGGTTTGTGATTTTTTAAAAAAATTTGGACTTGTTTGAATATAAGTGGACCCTCGAGTTATGACTGGCCTGACATACAAACAACTTGGGTTATGACCAGAATTTTACTTTTAACTTACAAAGTCTTGAGTTATGTATGACCTGAACGCCAGTCGCTTATACTTCCAGATGGTCTCAGATACAGATTTAACCCTTAAAGAGTCCTGGAAGGAACATCACAGCATCCTTTCCTGTGTGGGGCTGAGAAATCCTGGGCCAGTGTCTCTAAGGACACTGAGATCTGCCTGTATACAGGAGAGACTTTGAAGGCTGTGTAGAGGAGCCCGGGCTTTCCACTGACCAACCTGAGTTACAACCAGCCCTCGCAAACTGAGTTCAAAGTCAAGGGTCCCCTGTATCTTCTTTCTTTTCATTCCTCTTCCCCTCCCTACCACTTCCTTTCATCTCTGCATCCCCTTTCCCTATTTTCATTATCATTAATTGTTTTAGCTCATGTTTACGACACAAATTGTATTGACTGAGGGTAGCTGGGACATGTACATGACACATCTTAAGCCTTTTTATATCTGCTTTTCTTCCCCTCTACCCCTACCCTCAGACTCCTGGCCTCTTCCCATTTCCAAAAGATCTCCATTTCCTTTTATCTGTCTTCTATTTTGCTCATTATTTGTACTTTAGATTACTCAAAGGAGAGAAACTATCTGGTATTTAAGTTTATGTGTCTGATTTATTTCACTTAACATTGTTTTCAAGGGGTATCCCTTTTCCTATAAATGTCCCAAATTTAGCCTTCACTATACCTGAGAAGTATTCCATTAAGTATAGATATTACATTTTCTTTATCCCTGCATTTATTGACATATAAGCATCTTCTTAGATTTAACTTTTACGAATTGTCATGCTATAAACATTGGTATGTGCATATTTCTGTAACATCATGTCTTTAGCTCTTTTAGGAAGATATCTAGAAGGGGAATAGCTAGGTCAAACAGAATTTCTATTTTTAATTTTTTTAGAAGTCTTTACACTGATTTCCATAATGGCTGTACAGTTTATATTCCAACAATTTAGAAGGGTTCCCTTTTCACTGTAGCTATGCCAGCATTTGTTATTCTTTGATTTTTTTAATGACTGCCACTCTTTCTGTCTGAAGGCTGAAATCTTATGTGTTAATTTGCATTTCTTTAATGGCCAGAGATGTTGAACATTTTTTCATGTTTACTGGCCATTTCTTTTTTTTTTGGTACCGGGGATCGAACTCAGGACCTTGTGCTTGCGAGGTAGGCGGTGGCACCACTGAGCTAAATCCCCGGCCTGTACTGACCATTTCTGAGAAGTGTCATTCATTTCATTTTTTGATTGGGGGGGGTCCTAACTTTTTTTTTTTTATATATACAAGGATCGAACTCAGGACCTTGCGCTTGTGAGGCAGGCGGCAGCACCACTGAGCTAAATCCCGGCCTAACTTTTTTTTGAGACAGGGTCTTGCTGAGTAGTTCGGGCTGGGCTTAAACTCATTATGTAGCCCAGGTTGCCCTTGAACATGCAGCAATCCTACCCCAGCCATCTGAGTGCTGGGATTACAGGTGATCAACACCATGCCCAGTTTTTTTTTTGGGGGGGGGGTCTACTTTTTTTGAGCTCTTTACATATTTTAGATATTAGTGTGTTTTTTTTTAAGGTAATACTGTTTTGTAACTTTGAAAATATTTCAGGATTCTAAACATACCAAAAAATAACAGAGCACTGCAAACTGTTTAAGTATAGAAGATTCTTGAACTTTCATTGATGCTGTGGCTGAGTTTGTGTATGTATGCTTATGTTTCGATAAAGCTTTAATCTTTTTTAAGCTTTAATTTTAATAGGCATGTATATTTTGTAGTAAATGATAAAACCGACTTTTATCTACCTATATTTTATGTATTTATGACATACCTCACTTTTTCTTAAAAGTTGTGATGGTTCTTTTGTGAGTTTTAAACTGTTGCAAATCTCGAAAACAAAAAGTAGACCCGCAGAACTGGAAACCCATTCAAGGGTCAGCTACACAGCTTTTAATTCTAGGGCTTCTTCAGAATAGCTGGTTAAGCCAAGACAGTTGGTCTAGGAAGAGGAATCTTGAGGACTGTCATGGGGAGATTTTTCTGGTGTACTTGGAATCATACTCACCAACCAACTACCAGCCCCCTGCTTATACTCAGGAGAGCTGAGGGCAGGGAACTGGCTTAATCATCCCAGGGAGGGCCTAAGAGTCCAGACCAGAAGGAACACCAGACAGGACGGTAGCACTAGACACAGCAGATGCTACCAGAGAGGCACAGATGGGAATCGTGAAGAGGGTGACAATACTACAGCGTGGCTGCTGACAGGACAGATCCTCTGGCTCCAAAATCTTCAGGAAAAAGTTAAAGAAAGTGATGCAGGACGGAAAAGAAATCGAAAGCTCCCTGACCTGTAGTACTTTCAAACGTTTGAGCAAGGTCCAGAATGAAGGGTACAAAAGATATAGGAAGCTAATTTCTTTGGGAGAAAGTGATAAAACGGGTCCATGAAATAATCTTAAAAAAAATCATATAAAAATAAATCTAATAACCCCACAGAGAAAATAGATGGACTTGTTTTGTTTAGCTTTTGGGGCTGGGGAGCCAAACCCAGGGTCTGCACCAGACCAGGCAAGCACTCTAACACTGAGCTATATCCCTAGTTGCAAATGCAGATTCCTATAGGAAAACAGTAGTGCTACAGAGGTTTGGTGTTAAATCTTAAGAAAGTGAGACTGACGGAAAGAACTCAACTTACCCAAAGAGTTCTCGAGCTGCTGCCAAAATAGTAGATGTCTTTCCAGTTCCAGGTGGCCCATAAAACAAGAGATTAGGAAGCTGTAGAAATTTAATTTTAAGTTTTATAAATCGTATTCTGACACTAAGCGGTGAAAGTAATGACTGCAAATGCCTGTGCAGCAGTGTAATTACTTCCCCAGTAGAGAGGTATACGTGTCTAACTAGACAGATAGTGTAGTACTGATACTACTACAGTATACCGATAGTTCCAAATGCTGCCTTTTCACATTTTTATTGTTTCCTAATGTATCTTTCTAATCTCTTAAATGGAATTAATATTTATGCTTGCTCCATAGCTAATGTACTGATTTCAAAGCAGGAATTAGAAATGTTTTGTTTGTTTATTTATTCATTTAGTTTTTGGTAGCGGGGATTGAACTCAGGACCTTGTGCTTGCGAGGCAGGTGGTGGAATCACTGAGCTACATCCCCAGCCCAGAAATGTTTTATTTTTTGAAAGGAATCTCAAGCTTCTGATACTTTTGGTCAAATTGGGTAAGATTTTATATTATGTAACGATGTCAAGAGTTTCAAAGGGAAAACAGACCAAAAGAGTATGCGATTTGGTCAATTCTGAAGAAAAAAGACAAGAGCTTTGAATGAACTAAAGTTCTGAGAACAGAAATATATATATATATAAAACTCAGAAAAAACAAAACCTGAACATTTATTAAGTTTCAGGCACTATTCAACATCTAACTCAGAAAAATGAAGGACAAGATTAAATAACTAGCTATCATCTTTTACACCCAGCTAGCTAGCTTGGATCTTAGCAAGCAGACAAGTGATCTGCACTGAAGATTAATAAATATACTGCAATTCTAATGAGCTCTTTTATGAAACTGTATGATCTTTAGTAGTACATCTTTTTAGGCGGGGGAATTGCTATATACAGGAAACTAGGTCACAGCGTTTATTTGCTTTCATTCTCGCCTCACCTCCCCTTTCTTGTTCATTCATTCTCTACCCATATTGGTTACTTAAAACTAATCACTGGGCTCCCATTCCACTTAGAAAAACAAAAGCAAATAAACCAAACACAAGCTGCTCCCATGACCTGCAAGGATGTCCACGACCTATCCATCCTCCATTACCTTCCTGGCTCAGCTTAAAGTGGCCTCCAAGAGAGAAGCATGATTGGCCCACACATATGTTGTTCCTATGATCTAGAATCTGACCTCAATTTTTCTGCCTGGCCAACTCACAGTGTATTGCAAGCTGGAAGCCTCCCTGACCATCCAATCTAAAGTTAGTGATCCTTCTGCCTCAGCCCCCTGAGTGCTGGGATTACAGGCATGCGCCACCACACCTGGCTCAATTTGCATTTATTTTATTTATTGTCATTTATTTAACTGTTGGGTTTAGTAGTATCTGCCTACCTCACTAGATGGTTCACTTTTATAGGCCAAGAACCTTATCTGTTCCATTCACATTTGTATCTCAGCCTTTACTGTAGTACTCAGGATTTGCTAAATTAATGAATCAATCAGCATACAGACAAATACATGGATTAGAAGACAGCTAACTGTTAACACTGGGAACACAGAGCCTAAGAGATAAACTCAGGCTATACAAAGCAAACAAACGCCTCTTAGGCATTGTATGAAGGTTATAATTATTATTCTGAAGTGTGCATACCCCAACATTTATAATGATTCATCCAGGTAACGACAACATACCACAATTTAAATTCTTTTTTTTTTTTTTTGGTACCGAGGATGGAACTCAGGTCCTTGTGCTTTCGAGGCAGGTGACAGAACCACTGAGCTAAATCCCCGGCCCTACAATTTAAATTCTTTAGAATAAAGCTGGCTGTTGTGGCACATACCTGTGATCTCAGTGCTCTGGGATGTTGGGGCCCCAGCAATGGAAAAACAAAACAAACAAAAAAGTGGATCATAACCCCACTATATTTGCCTAAAGAGCTGAAAATACTAGTAATGAAATTGAATCTTGTCTTGTAATGTTCAAATATTACTGTGCAACTAAAATAGGGTACTTTTATAAAACTAAAAAGTAAAAGGGCATTTGAATCAGAAGAAACACAAAGATTTTAAAGTTTTGTAACTACAGCTTCTCTCAAAATGTTTACTGTAGGTTGGGGATTTAGCTCAGTGGCACCTTGCCTGCCTTGTAAGTGCAAGGTTGTGAGTTCGATTCCCAGTACCAAAAAAAAAAGATGTTTACTATATAGTACACGTTAAACATTCCTAATCTGAAATCCTAGAATCTGAAATGCTCCAAAATCCAAAATTCTTTGAGGGCCAACATGATGCCACAAGTGTTTAATAACCCTGAATCCATTATTTTTTCATCATATTAATGCCATATTTTTACTGTTAGTACTAATGTGTAAATAAATACAAAAAATGATTGCTAATTGGTAGTGTCTAAATTCAGAGTCAGGAATGATGGATGCCAAACAACCAGGAATAGGTGAGATAGTGATGGCTTTGCTTCCTGATGGTTCAATGTACAGAGACTTTGTTTCATATACCAAATTATTAAGAGCATTATATAAAATTACTTTCAGGGTATGGGTATAAGGCTATCTGAACGTATCGTGGTGAGGAATGATCTTAAATGTCTTACCAAGGTCTACATGTCCCCATGCTGGCCTGTGGCCCCACAGGGAAGCGGTGGACCGCTAGGAGGCGGGGCCTCATGGGAGAGGTCAGGTTGTCAGGGGTATGTCCTGGAAGGGGACCCTGGGACTCCAGCCACTTCCTGTCTAACCACAGGCCTAAAAGCAATGGAGCCAAGCAACCATGTACTGAAACCATGAGCCAAAATAAGTCTTTTCTTTTTAAAATTTGTTTGTCAGATATTTTAACATAATACAGTAGCTAATACAGCAGAAAAAAAATCCTAAATCCAAAACACTTCTGGAGCCTTTTGGATAAGGGATGCTTAACCTGTACTATAACAGCAGCAAAAACCTAAAGCACTTCTAATTAAAATCAGCCAGGTTGGGCCGGGTGTGGAGGCACATCCCTGTAATCCTAACACTTGGGAGGCTGAGACAGGAGGATCTCCATGAGTTCAAGGCCAGCCTGAGTTACACAGTGAGTTCGAGGCCAGCCTGAATTACACAGTGAGACCCTGTGTCAAAAAACCAAAACCAAAAAAAAAAAAAAAGCACCCATTTTTTTTGGTACCGGGGATCGAACTCAGGACCTTGCATTTGCGAGGCAGGCCGTGGAACCACTGAGCTAGATCCCCAGACCCATCCATGTTTAAGAAAGCAAATCTTAACCATAAAGCAAAAATCACATTCTACTTCTTAAAAAACTTTTAATTTTTATTAGTAAGTGTTGGCAGTACATAATAATTACATTCATTGTGGGGAACTGGTACATGTGTATAACACATCCTGGCTCTTTTAAAAGCCTGTTTTCCTGGGACGTTCTCTCTCCCTTTATTGAGTTCTTTTTTCTGATGGTGCTAAGGGTTGAACTTAGGATCTTCACACTGAGCTACATCCCCAGTCCTTTTTTAAATTTTGAGACAGTCTCACTAAGCTGTCTAGGCTGCGCTTGATCCTCCTGCCTCAGCTTCCAAGAGTGCTGAGATCACAGGTGCGCATCACCACATCCAGATCTTTGCCGAGTTCTTAATGTACCTGGACGTTTCATCATATGCAATTTAAAATTGCTAATTCTTTGTATGAGTTTATTTCATCTCCGAATAATCTAAAACATGAATTACTCCATATTTTACCCTATACAGCATAGCACAATGCTATAAGAAAAATTTAATGCTCAATGCTTTTTAAAAAATATTCTAATTCAAACCAAATCCTGGTTAGGTGAGCAAAACTTTCAAAAAATCTCTGGCTCTTCTTTACAACACATATCATTGTCTATAATTACCTTCTTTATTTGGTTTGTCTTTCTGCACCAAACAAAAGCTCTTGAAAAAAAGGTCCTAATCTGTCTTGTCCATTGGTCTTTACACTTGAGTGCTACAGAACAATGTCACACAGGAGTGAAGAGAAGCTGTTATGGTTTCAGTCTTAAATGTCCCCCAAAGGTTATCCGTGTTAAAAGGCTTGGCTGGCAGCCTGTGGCATGCTGGGAGGAGATGGAACCTTCAGGAAGTGGGGCCTAGTGGACCATGTGTTTCTACCACAATGTACTGCGCCATCACAGGTCCAAGCAACCACAGATCGAAACCATGCGCCAAACAAACCTTTCCTCCTTTCAGTTGTTTATCTTAGTCACTGCAGCAGAAAGCTGCCTAACACAGATTCTTGCTAAGCTGAACTAATAACACTGTGCAAATAGTTATCAAGGACTTACTATGTATTCGGAGTGGTATTTAATGAGGGTGAAAGGTTATGAACAAAGGAAAAGGGTGAATAAATCAGGTCTTAAATCTTCCATTGACATTAAAAACCAGCTGCTACTTACGTCAGCTCCTTCTAAAGATTTTTTCAGCACTGCAACTACTTCTTCTTGGAAAGCAACTTCATCCACACATTTTGGGCGGCTGCGGGGTTGGAGTGGAAGAGAGGATAGTGAGTATATTAGGGTAACCACAGAAAAGTTCCAAGTGTTCCTTCTGCTAAAAAACCATCAATTCTCATATACTGGTGATGAAATGGGAAACAACTGCAAGTACATGGAAACCTCGTTATTTACCTTAAGCAAATACATATTGAAAGAGTAAAATATTTACCTAAATCTGCATTGCTCATATTAAAAATTAAACAAAAGGATTTTATTTATTTATTTTCGGTACTGGGGATTGAACTCAGAACCCTGGTTGTGAGGCAAGTGGACCGCCACTGAGCTAAATCCCCGGCCCCTTATTTTTGTTGAGACAGGATCTCACTATGTAGTTCAGGCTAGTCTTGAACTCACTATGTAGTCTAGGCTGGCCTCAAACTCTCGGGGATCCTCCTGCTTCAGCCTCCCAAGTGCTGATAGTACTGGTGTGTGTCGCCATGCCTGGCAGATTTTATTTTATATACCACAAATGCCAAATGGCTAAAAATTAAAGTGAACACTTGTCAAGAAGGTAATGTTATATACAAGATAAGGTCATGAGAAAAGAGAATTACTTAATAACTTAAGGAGAAGTAACTATTGTATTTAATATATATGTATATTTAATGTTAATTGGTTAATATCCATTTTTTCTATCACCTAACTACATTAAAAAAAGGAGACCTATTTATTAAGGCTAATAAAAAACAAGTGAAACCAATATGAAGTAGAATAATATATAATTTTTGCTTTTTTTTTTTTGAGAGAGGGTCTTGCTATGTAGCCCAGGCTGGCCTCAAACTCATGGTGATCCTCCTGCCTCTGCCTCCCAAGTACTGGGATTACAGGTGTGCACCACCATGCCTGGCAATAATTTTTCATCTTAAATCATTTATTAGTGATTTTAAGTGCAGCTAGAAAAGTTAAATTCCCAACCCTAATTAATCCAGTCCTTTGACCCTTCCCTCCCTTTCTCTTTCCTTCCCCCTTTCTTTACTCATTTATTTTTAAAATTTTCCCCTTTGTTTCTTTTTGTAGCACTGAGGACTGACCCCAGGGATACTTTTACCGCTGAGCTTCAACCATAACCTTTATTATTATTTTTTTAGATTTTGAGACAGGGTCTCCTTAAGTTGCCCTAGCAGTACTCAAACTTGCCTCAGGCTCTTTCAGTGCTAAGGATTACAGGCAGGTATCACCATGCCTGGCTCGATTTATACTTTTCTAATTACTTAGGTTAGTGCCAGGCAAGGATTACGGATTACGTCAGTGTATATCATTAATTGGGTTCTCACATTCAAATACTGTAAAGATTAGGCAGATAACAAACATGAAGGGAGACAGAAGGCAAGAGAGGATGGCAGAGACTAGAGCAAACTGAGGGATACCCAACCTTCCCAAAATGAGAAGCAGTGTTCAAGTCCATCCCAAGTGTTGTCTGTGAGAACCTGCACCCAGCTGATCTGATAGGATAAAAATCTAGATTCTTGTGGTCAAATAGTGACTTATTATTTCACTTAGTTGATGATGATTTAAGTGTCACTTCTTTCTTTCCTTCCTTCCTGCCTGCAGTGCTGGGGATCAACCCCAGGGCCTCACACAAGCTAGGCAAATGGTCTACCACTGAGCTATACACACCCACCCCTCAAGTACTGTTTATGCAAAAAATTTATAAACAAGTGAAACTCAACAATTTCTATTTACTTTATTAGTAATAAAAAGGGGGACAGATTTAGATTCAAGTAGAATTCTTGACCAAGTGTTTACAGAAACTTTGTTTTCTTTACTTTTATACCAGCTCCTCCAACTACAGACTTCAATTATCAGGATCTTAGTTCACCTATTAAAAAGGGAATTAAATGATATTACTGTAAAGTCATCTTTCAGTTCCAAGGTTCTATGACTTAATTAAAGGAGTTATTTTCAAGGATAGTATCTTAACAAAGCAAGTAATTCCCCTCACATAAAAAAGTGATTAGAACTGGAGGTAATTTATTAGTTATTTTAACAAAAACAAATGTTCTTACTATTTTTCCACCCATGGAACAGGTTTGACTTTCTTGTTCTCTCCACTGCTTCCTGCAGTGGCAGTGATTCCTTGATCCTTGGTTGACAGTGGTTTCGTACTGATCGATGTTCCTTTTAGAAATGCCTGCATGATTACTTCACCCTGACCAAGCACAAGGCAAAAAAGGAAAATGTTTTTTGAAATCATTGTGAGGAAGTTCAGCCTGAAGGCACAAGTCATTCTGGGCAGAGACATCTGTAATTACTCAATAAAAGACACGACTCCATGACCTAGGATGCTCTGAATGCACTGTGCTGAGGGCTGAAGGTCATAAAAGAAACTAAAGTCCTTAAGGAACTTAGAATCTATAGTAAGGGAGACACAGAACAAAAATGAATCACATTAGAAAAAAGTATTAAAGAATTTCAAATGTATTGACAAAGTGTCATCAATGGCCAAATGGCAAAGCCCAACCGACCTCCAAGGCTGCTTGACAAAGTTCCAGCTTGGGGAAAAGAAGGGTGGAACACATCGTACCCTCATGTTTTATTTTTTTTATGCCATAATGTTTAAAATTGTTACTCTGGTCACAGGAGTCATTGTGTTTGTGACTAACAACAAACTCTCCATAAGGCAAATTGGTAATGATGTATTGAAATCTGATCTGGCTCAAAAGTCCCAAAGTCCTGTTTCTCTTAGTTCTATTGCCACACACAGCTCTAAAGAAACCTCTCCTAAAACTCCCTCTGTTTTCCCACTACTATAACTCCTTTCTTCTATTGATGACTTTCTTTTACTAAAGGGGTCTTATAAAGAGACTGAAGGGACAGATTTTAGATGTAAGAAACAGTGGAAAATGGGAAACAGAAAGAAAGTTAAGACAGATAAATACACTAAGGAGGCAAGTTACTCAGTTTTTCTCAAAGTACTGTAAACATCTCCTGCTCATGGACCATGAACCCAAATAACACTTAGGTAAGATGAATAGAGGTATAGAAAAATAGAGAGCTAATAGCAAACTATATTAACCATTGTGCAGTTTCTCAAGGGCCAGATGATGACCACAAATTTGACATTTAATTGATTAAATCTTGCTTGTACCCCCACTGATATAGAGATTTTGATTAAGTTACCTTCTGTTCTGCTTAGGTGTGGGTAAATAAGGGGACAATTGTAATTTTTAAAATGTATTCATGATGTTCAATGAAATGAATCAGCTTAGGAAAAATATACTCTGTTTAGCAAAAAATAACCTTTACTTCAATAGAAATTGCTAAGGCAACCTAAAATGTAAACATGTTCCGCCCAATGCCTCCAAGCTATTGCTTAAAGATATAAAAATAAATCAGACCCTGAGACTTCTCAGAGGGAACCTGCACATTGCTTGCGAAGGTTCTTTTCTCACTCGCCGGCCCGAGACCTCTCCCCTTCCTACCCTGCATCGACTGCAGCTGGTCTGCGGCAGCCAAACTGTACATGGGCCTGCTTCCACTTTGGTCATGGGCCTCACTCTAGCTCACACCTTGAAATGGATCCAGTAATTAGGAGTGATGGGACACAAATGAGAGCCTTCCTTTCTGTTTTTGGGCTTAGAGATCTGCTCAAGGTCCTGTTCTGCTGGCAAACCAATGTCCACCTTTGGGGATTTTTTCTTTTGGAAGCAGAAGGGAGGATGGAGAGGACTCCATTATTAAAAATGGAACGTGGTAACATGTTCAACTGAACTCAAAATAATACAGAAAATTTTAAAATTCATACAAAATTCCACAAAGAAGATAGTTACTACTAACTCTAACATTCTTTTTTTTTTTTTGGTACCGGGGATTGAACTTGTGCTTTCTTTCGAGGCAGATAGCTGCACCACTGAGCTAAATCCCCAGCCCAACACTAACATTCTTGGAGGTTGTCTTCAGGTTTTTTGTTTTGAAGAAAGAAAGCATCATTCGCTTGCCTAAATATCCCTCACATTAGTGGCAACTTTTTTGTTATTTGATTTTTGAGCCTGCATCTCGCTATGTAGTTCAGGCTGGCCTCAAACTCACTGCATACCCCAGGCTGGCCTCGAACTCGTGGCTATCCTCCTGCCTCGGCCTCCCAAGTGCCGGGATTACAGGCATGCACCACCATGCCCGTCCTTAGTGGCAATTCTATTTTTTCCCCCATTGCTATATGCCCAGTGCCTGGAACAGTGTCTGACATGTGCTAGATACTCCATGACATCTGGCGAATGACTTATCACCCGAGATTCTGCAAAAGGTGCTAACGCCTATTCTATAAGGCAACTGAGTTAAACAAAGGACTGCCAACGTGTAGTTCTGCGCTTGGCACTTGGGTATATACCAATAAAATAAAATGCGTACATTGTTAATATCTGTAACCAGCCGGGCTTTAAAAGCTATTGGATTACCCCGTCCTAGCCACGGCTGCTAAACGTTAATATGTCCCGAAGCAGGGCTCAGCGATGCTGTACCGAGGCACCATTTCACCCGGGGGTGCCGGGGTGGGTATGACAGGGTTGTCAGCAGGAGACAAAGTGGAGGTGGAAGACCTCACAGGAGCACTAAGGGAAGGCGAAGGCAAGCTCTGAATTTTTGCAGCCCATCACCTGCCTGCAAACCGGCTTCCCGCGCGGGACCCGCACAACTTGGGCCTTTCAGCTGCTCGTCGGCGTGGCGAACGCGTCGCCGCCTCGTTTCCGGAGATTCGGGATGGGGAAACGACGAGGTGATCGCGAAGTCTCAGTTCCGTCGCCCAGCGCGGGAATTACAGGCCAGGAGACTCACAGACACAGCCGAGACCCGACCGCCCGCATTTCCCGCCAGCCAAAGCCAGCGCAGGGCAGGGCGGGAACTCATACGTCGTGCGTCACTTCCGGCGCGCGGCGCGCTGGACAGCAGTGCGTCCGAGCGCTGTGTCGTGTAAACCCGAGCTGACACAAATGCCGGATACCTAGACTGGAGCTGGGTAACCAAGGAGGTGCAAATAAAGTTTCACCCTAACCCCATACTCTGCTGTGTCACTCCAGACGGCAGGGCACGGACCCTCAAGCTCGACGTCCCCACAGGAGCGGGGCGGGCGGGCCTCGGGACCCCACGGTCCGCGCAGGGGCTCACTCTGTTCAGGCACCGGTCTGCACGGTGAATATACAGACACGGGCAGCCTGTGGACGTAAATGCGGCAACACAATCCCGGTTCACCCCTAAGGACGGGAGTTAGGGAGAGTGGATTCGATCTTTGGCCAGAAGAAGGCTTCGTGCGGATCGCTCTCCTCCGATCTTCCTCGATGGTGGAGCAAACCGTCTTAAGGGTAGAGACAGCTGAAGATGGCTTTCCTTACCCTCCTGAGAGCACGTGCCATATACCTTTAGTAGAAGACCCTCTATGTACCTATATGTATCTAATTCCCCCTCGAAATCTAGCAGTGTGGGCGATCGATAAAGGGTACAAGATCGATAATCATTTTTAACCCCGCCAGGGCTCATGCATTGTGGACTCTAGGCAGGTGTCTGAGGCTGCCACCGCTTTTATCTTTCCCGGATAGTTTAGCTCTGAATTTTCCTTAATCCTGTTGAAACCTGATCGTTCTCAAATGCCACCTTTCCTGTCATCCTTCATGAATTACTAGCACATAAGGCCGATCTGCATCTTAAAGTGAATGACTAAGTGTTGTTTGGCATAAATTCAATATCATATTCATTGTTAACATTAGATATTTGTCTTCCATCAAATGCTTCTGGAAGTCCAAGCGGTGTGGTAGGTCCTCGTGATTCACCAAGGAACAAGCTGAAAAATGCCCATAAGTACCTTGGTAGATTAGAAGTTTAAGACAGTGTGATCTGTGTTATGCAGAGGAAGAAGGGAACTGTGAGAATATACATCCCAGGCCCAACCTAATCAAGAGGTGGAACAGTGGACTAACGGTGCTTTATCCTGCTTTGTGAGTTCCACAGGGCCTGGTAAATTCCCTAGATAGTATAGTATAAAGTATATACAAAGCACACGCATTACCTACTAGTTTACACTATCCTAACTAAACTGTACACTTAATGCTTGTAAATGTTACTGTATGTAAGTTGTACCTCAATAAGCAAAGATCAGTGATAATAGACTCCATTTGTTACTTGAACTAACACCACAACCACACAAAGGAAATACCCCATCTTACAGATAAGAAAACCAAGGTGTAAAGTGGTATTTGTCCATTTGGGCTGTTGTAACAAAATGCCATAGTCCTGGTGGCTTATAAGCAGCAAAAATTTATTTCTTATAGTTCTGGTCGCTAAGACCAAGATTAAGACACAGTGGTGAGGGTTTGCTTTCTCATAGGCAGTTGTCTTCTCACCCTGATTTCATATAGTGGAACTCACTCCTCTGGCCTCATTTATAAATCTGTAATTTATATATAATTCATTCGTGAGGGCTCCACATTTATGATCTACTCACCTCCCAAAAGCTCCATGTCTATACCATCACCTTTGGGGTTATTTCAACATGGGAATTTTGGAGTAACAAACATTTAGGCCACAGCAAAGGTCAATAGAAAGTAAGTGGCAAAGCCAGAATGCACGTGGCAAGGCCAGTATTGTAACTCGAGACCCAGGGTTTGTAAACAGTCACTTGGCAAGTTCATAGCTGGCCAAGAAGTACCTTTCTGCTAATTAGAAGAAAGCTGTTTCAGATGGTTAAAAATAAATGCCAGCATTCTCCGGGCATATTCAGCTCTTGAGGGGGGCTCAGAAGACTAGAGAAGAGAGATTGGGCTGGATTTCAACTTTCACTTGCCCCTCAGTTTTCGAGGCAGGCAGTGGACACCCTGAGCTCAATCTCCAGCCCTGACCTTTCCATTCTTGGGCACAACTACAGGCAGCACTGTAATGCAGGAAGTTCATAAATTTCTGTGCACACAAAGCATTGTCTGTACTATGCACATGCAGGTGCCTATGTGATTAAATCAGGCAATAAGCTTACAAGAGCTTTTATTGTTTAAATGGACATTCATTCTGTTTCTATTGTTACTATTATGGAGAGATTTGTGAGGTTTTGTTTTTTATGTGGAGGAGGGCTGTCAAAAGTTGAGTACCGCTTGGTGTGTTGCCCTTTGAAACAGACAAGACGGAACTGTAGCTGGATTACGTCTTAAGGGGCCCTGGGAAAGGAAAACACTTGGGTGGAAAGTGAAAGGGGCTGTTGGAGTGAGAAGACTTTGACGGGCTGGCAGTGCCATATTAAAATCAGGAAGTGCAGCTGCAGTGGGTGCTCTGGCGTGTCACCTTCATTGCCGAGATACTGCTCCAGGCGCCCAGGTACTGGGAGTGTGACAGCTGGGGTTTTTTTTTTTTGGTACTGGGGATCAAACTCAGGACCTTGTGCTTGCGAGGCAGGCATGGTGCCAGTGAGCTAAATCCCCGACCCCTACTGAGGGTTCTTGACTGAGTCTTTCTCTAGTAATTGTCTTCTGCCAAACGGAGCCACTTTGTCCAAAGTTGCGTTCCTCCCCTGGAGCAGGTCACCTCCAAGGACTAGCCCTTTTGCCTTAAGGTGGCACGATTCTGAAGGGTTATCTAAACTTCAGCGCTCTGTTGCACTTATATCACAGTACAGTTTCTTCTACCTAGTCCTGTTTCCTACATCCCTCATCCCTCTCAGGTGTTGTTTCTGAGAGTAACACACACACATACACATACACATACATGCTTGCATGCAAATCTTGTGTAAACCTGTTTCTTTTTTTCTTTCCTTTTTTTTTGGGTACCGGGGATTGAACTTGGGTCCTTGGGCTTGCGCAGCAGGCAGTGAAACCACTGAGCTAAATCCCTGGCCTGTAAATCTGTTTCTTAAGGGATTCAAGCCAGAAGTAGTCTCAGCAAAGAGCTCTCTGCTTGCCTAGCATGCATGAGGCCCTGGGTGTCATCCCCAGCACTGAAACAGAAAACCAAAAGGTTCTAAAGGGAATGTTGAAGCTGGATCACCTGCCAGCCTGCAGGTAAGGAGAACCCCATCACTGGTGGTAATGAAGAACTGGCATGCTTTGGCCATTGTTAAAACTTTCACCAGTGACAAACTGGACTGGGATGCTGAAGGGATGGAGTGCACCAGGAGATGTAGAATCTTGGAAGTTTCTGGAAATAATAGTTATAGGAAATTGGGAATGGGATGGCTATTTAGGGAGGGTGTCATTAATTTACTGAAGACGTTGAAAGGGTAAAGATGACCGTCGATCAACATAAGACCAAAGACGAAAGTAAAAGGGCCTATTTGGCAGTATATAAAACTATTCACATATACTAAGAAGGGGAAAAAATCGGAGCCAAAACTCAGTTATAGGAGCGACAGAGCTCCAGAGAAAGTTAAATTCTCAACTTAGCGAGTCTGCTACACTCAGGTCAGGGGTCTGATTGGGAAAGCTAGGATGCTGAGATGTGAAATAGGGCCATCTGGGTTGATGCATTTGGTAATCTTAAATTTCTAGATTCCCCCGAATGTTGTTGGTCTACAGAAGCAGCCCATCCCTCCCTGTTAAAGGCTGACATTCCTCTTTTAGGGAGAATGTAGATGCCTGATGATGTGGAGGTTTCTGTCTTGGAAACCAACACACATTTCTTCTCACTACCATTGGTTTACCTTTTCTCACCCTGCCAGCACTGAGGGTGAGGGGATTACCCTCAAGTGTGAACACATGGAGATAGGGATCATGAGTCGCATCCTACAGTCTAGAGTCTGCCTACCACAGAATGTGTGCAGCCTCCCTCATGAGCAGCTGACAGAAGGAAAAAGGCTAAGCTTGGTTCATGGATGTGGGGATTGGAACAGGGGTGCTAGACCCATGGCAAATGGGCAGCTGCTGCTCTACCACACTGGCCCTCAGGACTGCAGCGAAGGAATGTTCTCTGAAACGCAGCATCTGCTCATTCATTTTGTGAAGAGACAGAAGAGGCTTGAGGTGAAGGAAGACAGAGACTCCTGGGAGGTGCTGAGTAGCTTGACCATATGGTCAGGGACTTGAAAAGGGAAATATGGAAGATTCAAGGTATCTGGCGAAGAGGCATATGGTCCAAGGCAGCGTGAATGGAGTGAGAACATCTTTGTAACGTATGTTAACCCCTGGCAGAGAGGATTTCCCATGGGGCAGACACTAATCAACCACGCGGAATGACTTTTCCACTTCTCTCCCTTCATGGCACCATCCCTCGGGGGGATCAACCAACCTTTTCCCCACCCAGAAAGAAAACATCACTTGTTTCTCCCAGAAATAAAATTCTGCTCACTAGATTAATCTACAGATCCTTACTCCCTGGACTAGAGTAATGCTTCTCCAAGGGCAGTTTAGAGGCTTATCACAAACACTGACGCCCGGGTCTCACTCAGACTTACTGCACCTGAATCAGAATCTCCAAGTTTGGTCTCTGGGAATATGCATTTGTGGAATATGGAGGTTTGGGTTAAGTGTTTGCTTGGTGTAAATATTTTGTCTGTTCCAGACTCATGTTGAAACCTTAATATCCAATGCAATCAGTCCCCAGTGTCAAAGCTTAATCAATAATAATAGTAATAATAATAATAATAATAATAGGCTTATTGGAGTGGTTTCTGCTCTCTGGAACTCTTGTCCTTCCAACTCGCACGAAGTGAAGACTCAGCAGAAAGACCCTCACCAGAGGCTGGCACCTTGGTCATGGGTTTCCAGCTTCCAGAGCTGTGAGCCATTGCTTCTCGGCCTTTTGGCTAAGATCAAGTGCAGAGCTGTGAGCCAGTAAGTTTCTGTTTATTATGAATTACCCGTTCTCATGCATTCTATTAAGGCAGCACACAATAGACTGATACAGTGGCATTTCACTACACTATTCAATATTCT